AGCTCTCTAGATATGAAAGAAATAAATCAATTAAGCAATCAAGCGCAAGTGGAAAAAGGGTTGGAGCTTAACAAGAGCTTAATCAAGCCATATTTTAGAGAATAGTTTGAATGGAGGACAAAACAACTGATAACAAGAGCCAAGCAGAGCCAGAGTTCAAGCAAACAACAAACATACATACAGATTAACAGATTAAAATATCACTTAAAGCAAGTTAAAGTACTATAGTCGAGTGAGCTCCACTACAAGATACCCTGAACTCACCTGTTAAATACATGAATTCTAGTTGTACAGCCAATTTACACTTTATAATATTATGAACACAGAGTAAACAGGCGTTTAAGTGCTGTTGATAAATAATATCTTAGGGAATTTTACGCACCAATTGGAAGAGTATAACTTAAATACTGTGGCTTTTATTGCTATCGGAAATCGATTTCTATCGATAGTGATTTCTAAGTGGAGTTATCGATAAAATTAAATATATTTGGTAAGTAAGAACTGACATTTTGTAACTCTTACGGCTATAGGAGACTCTGAGGTCGCTTGCTCATACAGATGGACAGGAAGCCAGATGGACTAACAGACGGATATGGCTAGCTCAGCTTGGCTGTTGATCCTGATCAAGAATATATATACTTTATGAAATCGGAGGTGCTTCATTCCGCCTGTTAGATACTTTTGCACAAGACCATTATACCCTCTTTATTCGTTTATAAGTGGTTCAGGGCAGAACAATTTAGATTCGTTTTGTCAAAGAATATGAATAAGAATCCATTGCAAAAGCATACGTTAAACTAAGCTTCCATCCGCAGAGCGTATTCAATTAGTCGATGGCACAATCTATTTTTTCCTTTTTTTTTGCGGGCGGCTGATGACAATTAGCCTGGCTTTACTGTACAGTTTTCCCTCTACACGGATTGCATATTATATTTGTGGCCAGCCGCGCACTTTTACAACGTGGCCAAATGCAAATTATGCACCATCATGTTGAGTAACGACAGTCAGCAGCAGCTGGCAACAGTCCCCCTGCCCCTTGCGCTACCAACGCGCTGTCAGGAAGCACCCCCTCTATGCGGGTCCCTCTTGTGTCCTGGCAGGACATGGCCGTGTCGTAATTAGCTGTGCAGAACGTAGCTGGCGATAATTAATGACGTTGGTCACGTTGGTTTCATGTCGATTTCATTTCATGACACGGCCGCAGGCAGTTCCTGTGCGTCGTCCTGTGCCCTGCGTGTTCTTTGCGGTGATTTGTCAAGCGTTCGCATTCAATAAGGCCAAAATGAAACCAAAAAAAAAAAAAGGAGGAAAAAACCATGCATCGCTTTTGGCTGCATGTAAATCTACATTAAATTGAATTTCGTTTGCCACGGAAAGGCGAATGCAAAAAGAGAGAATTTCCTTTTTTTTTAATTTTATTTTTTGTATATTCGCAGCTGCTCTGATGATTTTCTGTTTCTGCTTCACTTTGCTGTAGCTTCATTAAATGCTGCCCATTTAGAATTCAATTGCAATTTGATCTTAGAGGTTATTCGATGAATTTGAATAAGTGAATAATTCATTGCCTCCACGCAGTGCAGCTTTGAGTCAACTTTGTTTCGCTCAATTTAAATGACATCAGCTTTTCAGCTCGAATTGGATTATTCATTGTATAATTCATGCACACGAATTAAAGAGCAGTGTTTGTGGTTGTATTTGGCTTCATTCGTTAGTTTGACTATCTTCAGCTCGTTTCGCTAATTGTTGTTTGCGGGTTATTTTGGGGGCATATTTGCGAATCACTTGATTTAAGCCAATATGTTTAATGGCAATTTTATTTGAGTTGATTAGTGCACAGTTTGTAAACTAGTTATCGCAGCCAGTTGCAAATTTGAGTGCCAATTGCAATTTCACCACCCAACGGGCATCAAATTAATTAAATTCGTTCTGTTCTGTTTGACTTATCCGCTTTCAAATATCATACACATCGTCCATTCAATAATGTACAATGTTTGGCTAAATTCTCCTTCAAATGTTTTTGGACTGAACACAGCAAATATTTGTATATGAAGCACGCACATATGTACTATGTAATATGTATGTACATATGTATAAATATTATGTAAATATGTAAAGCACTCGACTAAATTAATGTGGCATTACTTGCACCATATGTTTTGGTTTACTTGAGTTATTTCCTATATTTTTCAAACGGAATTTGCTTGCATGCTGTTTATAGGGTCACTTTAATCAGGCATCTTTTATTATTTTCATTTTCGACAATATGACTGACAACAGTTATTGGTGTTTTCCTTATTTCTTAAATGGATGAAAGGATATATTAAAGTGTAGTAAAGTATAAACCAGGCAGAAGAAAGCATCCTCGATCCCATTAAGTAAATCTGTTCGAGCTACCTCGACTAGTGGATTCCTACTTGTTTGCTCCGGATATATTGATACAAATATGTATTTTTATTCTTATAAAAATGCATCTTTCTGCGACTCTCCCATTCTGAGTTGACACATTATCAGATTGGAAAAATATATCAAATATAATTTAAGAACTCATCTTTAAGCCGTTTGATCATATTATATGTGGCTCTATACATATGTATTTATAGTAGATTGTGCAAATTTACCTGATGATGATATCATCCTCCCTTAACTTGGCTAAAGGCATTTCAATTCGTTGTTAGAATTGATGATCATCTATAATATAGGAGTTAAGAGGTTTGCAGAAAATTCAAAAAATAAATTGTTAAGTGTAGAATAAAAATAAAGAAAGTTTTTCTTTGTCATTATTGTATATGTATTACATAAATAAACTACAATAGGTTTTGATTATTGTATAAGGGAAAAACACTTAGCTTCTTTATCTGTTGCCTTATTTGGTTAGATATTTTGTTTCACTATTGTTCTTAAGTTCACTTGTTGACATCAACCACTGCTACAGCTGGTTGAAGGGGACCAAATACTCGAATAAATAGATCTGACCCGATGTCAACCAGCTACATACAGCGTTGTAAATAAATTCAAATTAATCATGTATATAGTTTTGTTTGTTTGTTAATGTTATTGAGTTGTATATTGATTGAATTGGATTGAATTGTATATTGTTTGCATTTCATTGAGCACGTTTGTTGCAACATTCGGTCGCACGACCGTTGTGACTGTTATCTGCCGCAGGGGCAGCCGTAGCACTCAGTTGTCAATAATTTTGAAATCAATTCTTTATAATTACGCGCCATTGTTGCCAATATATTCAAAAATAGTAATAACTTTATATATGTCACTATATTCGTATTAAATCACAAAAATACAGCCATGAAAGCGTTCGATGCTCGAAATTATTTTTGTATATACTTTAAATAAATAATATGAAAAAGGCAGCGATGTGGAATTATACTTACATTGGATTTAGGGCGTAATCTAAGGAGAGGTCAGCTGCATATATATATAAACCTTTATTAATCTAGTTAGGTTTCGTCCCAATTTTGTCCATCAAAAATAGGCCAGTCTATAATAAAAGAGTCAATAAATTTCATTACTCAGAATCTCTTAAGCATTGAAAAGAGCTAAAATGATTATGAAAAATAGTCCATTAAGAGCAAATTATATACCTTAATGTATATATATCAAGCTATCATTATTTTGCTGTCCCTGCTTGGGCTAATTTAGCTGGTTGTCACTCTAATAAGATATAATTCGTTCAAAATAAGGTATTGAAAATTATTTAAAATCTGTCTTAGAATCATTCCAACTTTGCCTGCATAGGAGAACAAATATTAAAATTATAGGAACAGGCTCGAGGAGCTATTTGGATAACCCTAATTTTTAATTAGGTAATTAGTTTCCACTTGTAATCCTTATGTCGTATATATAACAACCGAAACTTACATTCACAATTTAGAACGCACAAGCCTGAACTGTTAACTAAGTGATAATATAAGCATTTCAATACAAATTTAATTAAAAATAATATCATTAACGCGTTAACTGTACTTTTTTAATTTTTGCAATTTAGTTTTTAGAATTAGTCTTAGAATTTAGTTTGTCAGATTACATAAAAACTATAATTTTGGCTGATTTTAATTTGTTGTGTATTTTAAAGATTGTTATTACCCACATTGCTCACAATCGCAGCAGCTGCTGCCCCCACACACACACAGCCCCTTCCCCCACTTCACTTTCTCTAACACACATGTATATGTTGCTGCTGTTGTTTCCGCGAACAACATTAGCTTCATTTGTTCTATTGTTTTGATTATGATTTACAATGCCCAAATGCGATGCTTTTGTCTGCTGCCGTCCGCCTTTTGCTGAATGAGCTTGCGGCTTAGCTATTTGGATGTGACTGTGTTTGGGTGTGTGTGTGTGTGTGTGTGTGTACTAAAGGATAATGCATTTGCATGTAGAGTGTAAGCAAAGCTAAACAATAAATTTAATTTAAATTGTGCGCAAAAGTGTTTGTTCTTGTTTTGTGGGGGTGTTACTATTAACGCTCATTAGGCCTTGGCCTACTCGTATATAACCGCAAGGTAATTAGCAACGAGCTGGAATTCCCTGGCAACTAAATGGGTAATAGAATTATACCATGTGAAAATGAATGCATGGAAAGAGTAAATATATGAATTTATATACTTATTTTTATAAATATCGTGATTGTAAGTGATTTTTAAACTTTTTATAAAACAACAGATTTGGTTAAAATAGATTAGTTTTAACATAGCAGCAAAAAATCTAATTAAAATTCAAATAAAATAAATTAATTAAAACTTTGAAAATGGTATTTATTTTTCATTATTAAAATTATAGTAATAAATATTAATGTGCATAACAGTTATATTTTTCTCTGGTTCCATGTTCATGGTTTTTTTTTATTTCTTATGTAATCGAGATATTTCAATCCCGTTGTGATTCGTCTAAGAGGAGAGATTAACAGCATCCGACCAGTCCTCTGTTTGTTCAAACATATTGAAATTATAAGAGGTGAACAATCAATTGTGTAGAACAACATTGGCTTCTGATGACTTCCATACCACGGTATTTAATTTACAATTATTTGAATTACATTTTTAGAAACTAAAAACAATACAATTTTGAGAAAAATATGATTGAATGAACCTTTTGGAATGTCTTATTTTTTTTGGTCGTACACACTCTCATATAATTTGGATTGCTACATCATTTGCCTGTTGATCTCTCATCGGGTGAATGTTGCCATTCTGATGAATCTCCCGAATCGTTCTTATTCGCATTCTTTTTGATTTGATAGTGTTCCGCAGGAAAGAAATGCGCCTCCAGCTGGCGCACACCATCCGGCTTGCTCAGATCGTAGGCAAATTTCAGATACTTATCGAAAAAGACTTTCGAATTATGACTTTGATTTTTGTTTCGAGTCGGATGCGGTGCAGCATTGTCCGCTTTGTGCGGTGATTTGGTCTCTTTTAAATGTTTGCTGGTGGTAAGTAATTCGTCAGTCCTCATCTTGGACACAGCCCCATCGAGCCTATGCTTGCGTGTTTGCCTGATATGTTGTGCCATCTCCAAGTGCTTGGATAGAACCCCGTATTGTTCAATAGATGAAGCCTTAGCTATTGGTTGCATTGCAACTGATGGTGATGGTGGTGTTGGTGTTACACGCACCGGTTCAGCAACTTCGGGACGTTTGCTGTACTGTTTTAGATTGGGGCTTGACTTCAGCTTCATCGATTTTAATTTTCTTTCCTTATCTTTGTCCTTATCCTTGCTGGCCTCCTTGGCATTGACGCTGACCATGGTCGGCTGCCGAATAGTGCGCATATCCAACTTCAGGGGCTTGATGCTTGGCTTACGGCTGCACGCATTACTGGCCATTACTGAAGGGGATATGAAGGGGAATGATATGTTTTAGATATGCTTGACGAAAAATAAAAAACACAGCACAAACAACTGTTCCCGTTTCGAATGAATGACCTGAAAATAATAAAAAATTTCATAAATTGCTACTATGTTTGTAGAGATATAACATGTTACAATTCGAGTATATGTTTTAATTTTTTTTGTAGATTATTCTTAGCGGTCTTGTGAGGTGAAAATATTTGAATGAAGTACGAAGTATGATTAGCATAGTTTTATAACTAAACACTTAAGCTGGTTATAGAAAATATTACAATTTTAAGAGGAAACTCAGTTGTAAATGTAGGTAATTCTTGTCAGTTCGTCTTCAAAGTGATTTTGCAAACTGTAGTTGAAAGTGCGAAATCAATAAATGATAAACTTTGGCATTGCTAAATACGAACTGAATGCATAAAAGTTTTTCGCAAATGTTTCCTTTTTTTTGAAATCTAAAACTGCAATTATTTTTATGCCTTTATCGTGTACATTTGAATTTATGTGTACATGTATATATCTATTTAGGGGCATATCTGATAAATTGTCCGTTGCTTGTCAAGTTTAATTTGCCTGTCATTTCACTTTGCTAACGCGAGCGATAAGGGGACGCAAGCAGGGGGCAGGCGAGGGGGCTAAGCTGACATTTGCCAGTTGCCAACTGCCAGCTATCAGTTGTTCTCAACCAAACTTAGCTTCGCACACCTCCCCTTTCATAACCCTCTCAGCGAGGCCAAACTCCGCACAATTTGTGAAATGTAAGCGAAAAAAAGATCAACGTTGCTCAGGTTGCCAAAATTGGAAGGGTACTGGGGGAAAGGGGGCTGTCGGGTAGGACTTATACAGACACAGTTTAGCCGAAATGAAACTAATTACGTTGGCGACTTTACACGCAGATAAGACTTAAATCACCTAAATGAAAAAGAGCTGTATTTTTTTTTCTCCTGCCCAAGGGGCTTGCTCGTGATAAGAAATAAATGCTATAGCTGACTATGCTTGACCAGCATATACCCTGTGTAATGTCGGTAGGCACAATGTGTAAATTTTAGTTTCAGTTGAATGTGAGCAAATGTAACCATATATATATAAATATATATATATATATATAAGCATCTTTCTAAGAAATTGTAAAAAATGCGTCTGGATTTTGATCTATCCATTTTGTTCACTCAACGTTAACTATTGTAAAAAAAAATAAGGCAGATTTTCGATCATGCTACCCTACTGGGGTACCAAACACGCAAAATGTAAATAACGTCATTAGGCGGCCGCAACTAGGGGCAAAGTGAGAAAGCCAAAAAATGAGACTACGGAGCGGGTTAATTACGCTACAAACAATAAATTACTTACTTCACGGAAATGATGAGAAAAAACCAAGATGAAATTAGTGCGTACTGCGAAGAAACGCAAAGAGATAGAGAGACATTGAGAAAGGAAGGGATGTGGGAATTTGAGGAGAGCCCTGCTTGCAAGCGCGACCCTAATCAGCTTAGTGAACGATGATTAAATTTTTGGCCTTTGAGGGTAATTGAAAGCGCATGCAACACATTGCCAACCATTGAAATCGCATTACGTATACGCCATGTGTTGCATTAACTGACAACGTGCTCCTGCTGCTGCTGTGTCCTAAACCTTTCAACATTTCATAGAATTTTCGCATTTTATGCGCTTGTCTAACATTTTTTTTTTGCACATTTTTGTTTCTCTTTCTTATTTTCCCCAATTTGTGTGTGTGTGTGTGTGCTTCTTTCACTGGCCTGTCAGTTTTGTAAGCTGTTCCCTTGTCTGGCTTTTTGTATATTTGCTTTCACTTAATTTCATTTCGCTCTGGCTTGTTTTTGTGCTGACTCAGCCCATCATGTTGGAAAAGGAATTTTTTAATTAGGAAGTGTGTTTATCCGGAATTAATTGTTATTTTTGTGCCCAGCGGCACTAGAAAACACAACAAACCAACCAAAAACAAAACAGAAAATTTAAATAATAAAAAAAAAATAAAATAAATTATCTTCTTTCTTTACAAACAGCGAACAGACTAAGCTTAACTCTTGGGACTGAAAAAGCCACTTAAATTTGGGATTAAATTCAGTTCTTCTTTGTACTCTATAAATTGGTAATAATAAACAACTTTGGGTATGGTATATGGTATTATAATAAGTTTATTTGCGTTATACCAAAGACTAGCACAACTTGGAGTGTTAAGCGATGCTATGCATCATAAATAAAACGTATTTCAGTTAATTAAATATAAATGTATAATTTGAATCTCTTATGAATCACAACGAAAGTATCTTAAATTTCTTAAAAGATTCCTTAAAGTTATCTCGACCCTAGAGAGACGCTGCCAGTTGCCTGTTGCCAATTGCTGAGTAAACAACAACACATATACACTTGATATGGCTGTATGAAAGTGTGTGTGCTCAGGATGGACCCTATGAGGGAGCCTGCGAGTAAGAGCCTCCACTTCAGTGCCATTGTGAGTGACACTTCTTTACTTTTATTTTAAGCAGCTGCTGTATCTTCAGTGTAGACAGTTTTCAAGCTTTTGTCCAATGTGTAACTGTATACGGTTGCAAGCTGCCAGTTGCCAGTTGCAACGCTGTGCTTTTCAACGCCACCCATCGAGCTCATTCTACAAGGCATTAATGTCAACAATTATTGCGCCTGTGAGCAGTGCCACGCCCCGTTCACCCTGAATCATTCCCCAGCCCAGAAAATACTTGAATCTGGTGATCTTACTGTGAGTGCTCTAGGGATAAATGCAGTTGCAGTTGTAACTCTCGACAGGCAGTCAATTTAAATTGGTCGACTGCTCCGAAATGTTGTCCCAAAATATAAATTGTAACATAAATTTCAATGCGATGGCTGTGGTGGGCGATGGGGTTAGCTGGAGGGTTAGCTTACATATGTGCTTAAGCGGAAATCTTGTTACAAAATACCCTCAAATATGTGTGTACTAACTGAAAATCATCCTAAACTATAGTCCCTGCGCACACACACACACATACACACAAAAAAAACACATTTTACAAAATGGCTGCCCTCAGCTGCATTGCCGCCATTCGTTGCCGTTAACATTTCCGCTATATTTGTCTGTCTGCTCTTTGCAATTTATCTATTTCTCCCACCCAGTCTCACCGTTTCTGGCTATCTCTTGCGTCTGTCTGTCGGACTGTTCAGTCTGTCGGTCTGTCCGCCTGCCTGCCTGTTTTGCTGGTTGTTTGTTGGCTAAATTCAACTTCGTTGCCGCAACTATTTCCCTCGATATTTTCCACAGCTCTTTTACATTGTGCAGTTTTAGTTTTTATCTATCTGTGTTCGCCATTTTGTTCTTGTTCTCTAATGTTTTAAATATAAACTCAAATAACGTCGAAAATAAAACATAAATCACCGCAAATATCTCGCTGAATTTCTTTTCAATCTACAAACGCTTGGATATACTTTTCTGTCTCTTACTTAGTTGTAAACAATTCTGTTTGCTGTTCTGATTTTCGGCGATAAATTATAGGAACCCAAACAGAACCTCGCTTCAACCTCCCGACCAATCCGTCTCCATCGTGCACAAGTTTTTATCTATTAATTTGATAGCCGCGAGTATTCCTTGCAGCTTTTGTTGTTCTTCACAAGTTGTTGCTGTTGGCAGAAATAAAAAACAAAGCCACAAGAGACATTGATGCGATTTGTTAGAGCTTATGGGGAAAGCTTTGCAGATATGTTTGAACTGAATTTTGTTGTGAGAAATGTTTAAAAGTATTTTCTTTGATAAACAAATGCAATTAGGTGCTGAGTGGAGTTGTATTAAGGGAGAATATATGGCAGACATAACTTAAACAAGCTAGAAATAAAATAAATAACCAGTTAAGGTTATTCAACTTGGACAGCTTTTAACTTATTTGCAGCTCCAAGTTTTGTACTCCAAGTTTTGAGTGATTGAACTAACTATTATTTCAGGTATTCAATTTCCATAGTCATTGGCATAGTCACATGTCATATCAATTCAAGCACGTCTCAAGTCTATCTATCAGTGCAACTATTAAGTACGTGATTTAAGTGTAGGCCAATTACTTTTGGGAAACGGTTGCAGTTGTTGTGTTGCACTGGTCGAGTGACAGGTAAATTTCCCGTTTAGCCGCAGCAAGCCCAAGCGATCAATCAAGTGTCATGCAATTTGTGCAACGAAGGAGTCGCTTTGGTGCCTCCTGTTGCTACTTTTGCTGCTGTCGGCTCCAACAGCGCATGCATATTGAAATTTGATTTTCATCATATTTCGCAAAGCAGGACATGGTGTACGTTGTACTAGTCTGTCGTCCAGAGTAGACCAGGCCAGAACAGAACAGTCAGGCAGTCAACCTGTTCGCACGGCACATGAACCAGTTAATTAAATGATGAAAGCATTGACGTGTCTCCAAAAGCAGGTCCGTAACGTGTACCCTGCTCTGAGTGTGGTAGACTGGGACAGTTGATGTTGATGTGGCTCTCCAGAACGTGGTATACTGGGACACTCTATGTTGATATGGCAAATGTATGAGAGTCAGTGAAATGAACAACCTGCACCGAAGCTGAATAGAAACTAGTCCAAAAGTTGCCAAGTTGTCAGCCTGCTCGATTGCCCCATCAACTGCACTAATAAAAATATGTTGCACTAGAAAAGCCAGTTCGATTAATATTTTGTCAAATGGATTTAAAAAATATATGTGATTGCCTTTCTAAAATTCATCATTATCATTTTTAAACAAAAGGTTGTATTTTCCAACATTTCTAAACTTCTTGGTTTTTATTTATATATAAAAGATATTCATTAAAAAAAGCATAAATTCAATTCTATAGTATAATATTTAAAAAAAATTCATCTTTCTTTTACACAAATAAATAATATTTCTATAATAAATTTTGAACAACTTAAAAGACAACAAATATTATTTCTCGCTACCTAGTTCAGAGTTACATTTTTGTTTTGAGTGCAGATGGTGTTTTACCGAGCTGTGCGTTGTTCCTGTGGCTCCTGTCCACCTGTTGGGTGACTTTATAATGCATGAATGGCAGCAGGAGTTTGCTGGGCACGCACGCATCAGTTGCAT